CAGGAACGTGTCTGGCACACAAGTGGGGAAAGAGCTCAAGACTGGCCTGAGACCCGGAGGGCCGCACCCACAAGGCAGCTCGGGGAGCAGCTGGTCTGGGGTAAGGGGCAGGACATGTGGAAGGGCTGGCTACTGTCACTACCCTCCAGCCCACTCACCCAGGACCTCAGTCCTGCGTGCTTATACTTGAGACAATCTTCCTTCCAGAATGTATGCCAGGCCTTCCCGGCCTCATCTTCAGGCAGGGCCCTCGGTGTGGAACAACTTTGACTAGATTTCCCTGACCTTTATCTCCCTGAAATCCTAACTGTCCTTCACACCACCACTCAAGCGCCCCTTCCCCACGAAGCGCCGCCTGGCACTGTCCTGGCTCCACAGACCATCTGCGACTCTCACGCTGTTACTCACACTCTGCCCGGGCTGGAGTCTCTTTTATGCCCAACTTATTCTGCCTACTCAATTGCAAGGGCTTCTCAAGGATGATGGGGCCATCCTACTCGCTCTGGATCCTTCTTGCTGCCTCACCCGCACTAGGAGAGTGAATTAAACTTATCCTGGGATCCTGGGAAGAGGGAACAAGAATGCTTTTTCAGCACCTACTTCATTTTACATTGAGCAATGCAGGTAAACTGCTCTACAATTCCCTTGGCAAGGTTTTCGATCTTCCTGTTACACGGCAGAAGTAACAGGTCACTGGACCAAGAACTGTGTGCGGTGTCTTCAGATCTGGCACCTGCTGTATTCCTATGAGGCGGCCCTTGGGAATTCCATGCTGGACTGACGACACAGGCCCAGGGACATTCGGGAATAAAGGGCTGCTCTGAGAGCATGTCAAAGCCCTTCTGTCTGGGGCTCATCTTAGAACGTAGCAGAGAATATGCGAAGAATACGCTGGTATTACACTAAATCATTTCTCCGGGGTTTCAGCATTTCAAATGTCAAGTGTTGCATACATTTAGGCCATTACTAACAGCTCTTGAGGCCTGGAGGGACTTTCCTTTAAGTGAAATAAAGCACCTTTCTTAGCTCACTCCCCTCAGGCTCCTTTGTGGAGCTGCCGCTGAGAACACAACATTTCTGCTGCAAGATGCCGTAAGACTCCCCTATGTGCCAGGGCTGAAAACCATGACGTACTCATACCCAAACTTAATTAAAATGCCCTCAAATTTTCTTTAATTCCGTAGTAAACAGTCCAATGCATTGACAGTCTTCTACCCCAAACTACTCAAAAGGGATATTGTAGACACCCTTAGGAAAACTCACACTTACTTTCTGTTCACAGAGGGGGGGAAAACTGTCAAGAGCTGGGATTGTCTACAAGCCAAGTTTAGCAAGATTTGTGAAAGGAGCTTGCCAGAGGTGCGTGCTGAGGAAACAGAGGGCGTCTGGCACCAGGGCAGGGCTGGGGGTGGGGCGAGTGGTGTTTAGCCTTTCTACAGCACGTATGGTTGGTGCCGGCTCTAAAAAGCTAGGCCCTAGCACACTGAAGGGAGGACTGCGCCCCAAGGGCCTCACAACGGGCAGGCGCAGCTTAAACCGGGCGCTGGATGGCTCCCAAATACGGAAACTGGACAAGACCACACTGGGAACCCAAGCTTGGAGAGGTCTCCAAAAGTCACCAGGTCAACCTTGTCATTCATAGAGGGAAAGGGAAGTGCAAGCAGGTTAAGCCACTTGCCCAAGCTCTCCTGTACAGAATCAGAGCAGAGCCAAGACCAGAGTCCAGACCTCTAAGAGAAAGCGCAATAGTAATAAACTTTCTAGGCTTACAGTGTGCCTGGAAGTCTCCTGTGATTTTACTTAATCCTCCCATTCACGAACTGCTATAAGAGGCAAGGAAAAGTACAATCCCAAGGGACAGAAATTGAGGCCTGGGGAGGATAAACCGATTTTAAGTGGAGCCCAAATGTGCCCCCTTGCCAAGTTCTTTCCCCTGACATCCGGAGTTTCATTGGAACAGATTAATTGCGTCAGCACAGCCACACTACTAAGCTGTGTCCTAGGCAATGACAAACAGTTACTGTTGCTTTAAGCCACAAAGTTTTGGGGTGGTATGTTACGTAGCAAGAGTTAGCAAAAGCTAACTGATACAGCTCTCAAACTCAAACTCCGTCATGCTGGGTATAACCTGCTCTCTGGGGCTTTGCTTCCTACGTGAGGACTATTCCTTTTTAAACACAGAACACTACAGGGCTGACCCAAGGCCCAGTGTGAGAATGGAATAAAAAGGCCAAGACATCCCTGCCAGTTTATGCCTGGGTGATGACGTTCCAAGCGTGGCCGCTAATGATCCCCGCCCCACCGGCTCACACAGTCCTTTGGGCCACAGCCAGCCAACCACGCATACCCTTTCCCATCTAGTGCAGGGGCCTGCGGAGAGACAGAGCCGGCGATGGGCAGCAGCACACACATCGGGAGGCAGGAGCGACAAGGGAAAGATCTCGCTCACCAGTTTCCCAGTAGCGAGCAGCAGGGAGCGACTCACCGAGGGCACAGGTAAGTTGCCGTGCCGGCTGAGAAAGGAGTTAGAGACGGACACACTGATGCCCTGAGTGGCACTGCCGTCCTCGGGAGTGAAGGCCACTTTAGTTTGCTGGACACAGTAGGAGACAGAGGAGAAGGAAGAAGCAGCATAGGAGGCCTGCTGGACAGAGGAAGGAGAGAGAAGACAGGGAAGGAGGGAGAAAAGCAGAGAACAGTCAGGCATGTACACATAAAGGCTAAACAGGCTGCTACCCGACTCTGCTGGGACATTCTGGAGAGGGATGGCTTCCCGGCCCAGCTCAGGGGTTAAGGATGCCTGCCAAAGGTGACCTGGGTGAGTGGGCGCCCTCTTCACTTCTGGGTCCGCTGGAAGTGGCGGTAAGGTGGGAGGAGCCACACAGACTCCTCTGGGTGAGTCCCTGCTCTTCCGCTTATTTCGGGCCCCAGACCCCCCTCTGTGGGTGGCTGTGCTCCGGCAGAGTGCAGAGGGGGAGCCAGGCTGCCTGGGTTTAATCTGAGCCCCACCATTCATGACCTGCCTGGCCCTGGGCATTACTCAAAGCTCTCTGTGCCCCAGGTGGTCATCTGTAGGATGTGGGGAACACGGTGCTGGGCGGTATGCACGGAAAGCACTTAGAACCAGCCTCCCTCGGCGCACGCGGGCCAGCAGGTGTAACCAGCACTCTCACTTCTGTCTGGAAAAATGGGGTCACACTTCTTGCGTCTGCCCTGGAGAAGGGATGCCAAGCAGCCGGCACAGGCCATGGCACAAGTGTGCCCAGGCTTCAGTCAGAGCTGGGCGCGGCTCCCAAATCTTCCACTTCTGGCAGTGGGCTTTGAATCAGTCTCGCCAGCTCTCTCAGCCTCAGTTTACTTAAAATGGGGGTGCCAGGGGCCGTGGGGAGAATCGTGCGACACCATACGAAAGCCCCGGTGCTCACTCAGGGCGGAGGCCCACCTCCCGGGCCCCCGGCAGGCCTCTCCCCAGAGCTGCCCTCACCACCGCCCTGCCACAGGTGAGGCCGTCTGACAGCTCTCTCACGCAGGCTGGGACTCGCGTGCGCTCCTTAGGGATCTCTCCCCAGTGCTCTGACGCCTATGGGCTACACGGTACAGAGAAGATGCCCAAGGCCGGCCGACAGGCACGCGTGCACTCCGGCAGGAGGGGATGAGAGAACTTCACATTTCAACCTAACTAGCCCAGCTGTCCAACAAACATTTCAGGTCAGAGGTCCCGGGGGCAGGCATTTATATTTCTGTGGTGACAATTTCTTCTTGAAATCCTAGAATCAATTTTCAATTTCTGTTCATATTCGGGCATGTTCAGGTGTCTGTGGGGTGAGCAGGACAGGTGAAAAACTAAGACCCTGAGCACAACTGCTGAAACACAGCTAGTTAGTGGCAGAGCTGCGACCCACGACTCCCAGCCCGAGCCTGGCCTTTCCTCTACTAGACCAGGCTGTCCCCCAAGAGGCTGGCTGTGGCTCTGCGGGGCCAGCCCCAGAGCCCGCTGAGTGTAGGCAGGCTCGGGGATGCCTGGGGACAGGCATGCTCGAGGCCTGATCACAGCACTGCTGAGGCCCAGACAGTTTCGAGGAGTCACCCAGGGACCTTTGTCGTCCGGTCGGCAGCTGCCTCCCAGAAAAGTCGGGGCAGTACCTCACGTCCTCTCGCAATGGATAAAAGGCGGCCTGGCCAGCCACGCTGGGCCCCTCGCTGGTTAAATCACTACCAGATTGACCAGCGTAAGAGCAAGACAGCACATGCAGCTCTGATAAAGTCGGGTCTCCTCTCCTGGAGAACACGGCTGGATGGGACGTTTGGATTCCACACCCTGACCAGAGCCCACTCAGTTAGTAAACTGGTGGCAAAGAGAAAAGGGTTGAGAGGCGCACCCGCCGTGCCCCTCGTCTGGTCCCAGGGCTTCACAGCCTGCCCACGGCTGGACAGCCTGCCTCTGTGCCACCTACACGGAGGCCTTACACAGGAGGGGTTTTTGAAGGACGAACGGTGCGCCATGCCTCAAACACAAAGCGGCTCTGTGCAAAGCCATCCTGCTTCAATAGAGCTGGTTCTCACTGGGCCATCCCCGGCCAGGGCGGGGTGTTAAATCACTGGGCAGAGTGAGGCCCATTATGTAAATCAAGTCCACAGATGGCCCTACACAGACCGTGCCCTGTGCTCTGATTGAGTCCCTCCTTTCTGGGAGGTCTATATTGGAGCCAAAGAAGAGAGAAAAAGGACCGTCAACAGAGAAAGCAAACATTCTGAGTACAAGCCAGCCCCAGCTGCAGGGGCTGCTCTGGAAAAGAAAGGTGCCACCCCCCAGGGTGGGGAGATGGTGCAGCAGGAGACAGGCCGCAGCGAGGGCACGAGAGCACGGCCCAGAGCCCTGGCTCGGAAGGAGAGGTGCCGAAACCTGCCCCAGGACCATCCCAGTTCCTAGAGACCCGTCAGGATGAGAGACTGGTTGCTGGGGGTGGAACAGCGAGGGGCACCCGGGAGGGGCCGCTTACCAGCTGCCGCTGCTTGGGGGGCAGGGCGGGGGGCGGGGCGAGCTCCTGCGGGGCATCCCCGGCGCTGAAAGAGTCGCTGAAGCCATACACCTCCATGAGGAGCTTGTTCTTCTGCTGGTAGATGTGCTCCTTCTGCGGCGTCCGGTAGAACATGGCGGGCTGCGGCTCCGAGTAGTCCTCGAGCAGCTGCATGTAGGCCAGCACTGCGGACACAGGGGGGCACTGGGCTGGAGACCGCCGTGCACAGATCCCCACCCTACCCCCTCACAGCGGCCAGGGTGAGGGCCCGGAGAGCCCACTCTGTACGACACTACCACGCGGACACCCGTGTCAAGGCGATGTGAACCCTGACTCGGCGACCATGGCGTGTCACGGGGGGTCACGGTGGAGGTGGTGACGGGGGGCGGGGGTGGTGGTGGGGAGCCGTGTGTGCGGGGAGGGAGGGCAAGGATCTATGGGAACTCCCTGTACTTTCCGCTCAACGTCCCTGGGAACCTAGAACAGCTCTAGGGAATAGAGTCTGTTTTTAGAAAGGCGTAGGGGGCACTCCACTCCGTGCTGAGAAGCCCTCGGGGCTTTCCAGCCTCCCCAGGGCCGTGGTTGTGGGCCGTGCGCAGGGCTCAGGGCACAGCGGGCACCCAGTGCACGCTGCCCGCTCCTCTGGCTCTCTCAGTTCCCGGACCATGCTCGGGGCTCTCCACAGCGCTGTTCCAGTTGCTTTTCCCACAACCCTGCTGCTACGCTGCCAGGCCCGACTCTCTCCCTCCTTTGGGCCTCGGGCTCAGGTTCCCTGACTTCCGTGGAGGCCTCTCACCGCCGGCTCTGCCCCAGCAGCCCCTCCTCAGCCCCGCGTTCCCTTCCGTCGGAGGCCTTCCCACTGCGCATCACGAGCTAGCTGGGCTTTTCTCCTTCGTCTGATTTTTCTGAGCACCTACTATGTGTTGGGCCCTGACCCAGGTGCTGGGACTACACAGGGGCCAGCAAAGCGAATCCTTCGCCTGCGTGGTGCTCACACCCTCCCCAGGGAGACAGAAAACAGGCCGAGGTGCGGTATGCGTGTCCCACGGAGGACAGTGAAATGGGGTGGCGATGGGGATGCTTCTCTAGAATAAGGGTGAGGACGGGTGGAAGAGGTTTCCCGGCCAGGCAGAGGTCCACAGCCAGGACGAGGGTCCGGTTGGCAGAGCACAGCTGGTGAGGGGAGAGGGATGACCCAGGAGGTTGCATGGGGCTGTGTGAACGGGGTAAGGAAGCGGGCTTGACGCTGAGTTGGCGGGAACCCACAGAAGCCCCCCACCCCCACCCCGGGTGTGCCCGGAGCTGCTTCGTCTTGGGAAGACGGTTCTGGGCGGCTGTCTTGCTCAGGTGAAAGGCCGCGGTGGAGGTGGGGGTGGGGGTGAGTGGTTTGGTTCAGGAAGAATCTCCGAAGCAGGTGCAACAGGACTTACTGCCTCTCACTCAAGAGCTGAAGCTGCAGGAGGGCAGGGACCTTGTCCATCCTGTCCGCTGCTGTATCAGCGGTGCCTAACACATAGCAGGCATCCACACATATTTACAGAATGAACGAATGAAGAGAACGCACGCCCCCCCCCGCATCTGTCCCTGCTCAGTGACTTGCTGAACCAGGCTGCAGCCCCGGGGGCGGGTCTTGCAGAGCACCCGCTGGGTAGGCGAGAAATAACAGTCACTAAGCTCAGTTCTCCCCCTCCAAGCCCAGAGGTTCTATGGAACATCCTCTGTACAGAGGGACGAACAGTGAGAAAAGAAGTGCTCACATTGAAACATAAGGATCCTCCTCTCTACAAGCCCTTTAAGAAGCCCTAGCCCCGGTGCTCTGTGACCACCTAGAGGGGTGGGATAGGGAGGGTGGGAGGGAGACGCGAGGAGGAGGGGATATGGGGATACATGCATAGCTGATTCACTTTGTTATAAAGCAGAAATTAACACACCATTGTAAAGCAATTATACTCCAATAAAGATGCTAAAAAAAAAAAAAAGCAGCCCTAGCCCTTGCCACTGCGGCCATCTGTCGCGGAGCCGCGGCCTCACGGCGCAGCTGCCTGCACCTGCGGGGCCCGCACAGCGGGCAGGCTCCCTCACCGGCACTGTGGCGCCACCGACGGAGCCTTTGGCCGCAGGCAGCGGCTCCGCGGCAGGTGTGAAGCCCTCAGCCCTCCCGTGAGGGCATCAGCGTATACTTTATTTCTGACTTTTGGAGGCTAGTGATCCAAGCCCATCTTCTGAGCCAGGCCTTTCTGAAGACTCCAGAGGGTTCTGGGAGAAGTGACAGTCTGGACCTGACAGAGCCGTCATCTGGTGTCCGTAGCTGTGAGGCTGGACTGGAGCAGAAGCCCTTTCTCCAGCCCCAGTCTACCTCTGTGAATGGGATCTCGCACTTTCCACTCCCTGTCGCAAAGTCGAGGTCAAGGCAGGCCGGAACTGCTCCGCCCTTCCCCTTCTCTAGGTAGCGGAGGAAGCTCCTGGGTGTTAGGGCATCCTCTATACAGACACGTGTTTGGAGGGAAAGGCACCGTTGCGCCCCTCAATACCTGCGTCAGAAATAAGTACTAACTTATTTACAGAGTTACCGCGCACGAACTCAGAGGGAGGTGAAGGGATGCGAGCACCTGCTAGGTGAAGCCAAAGTTCAGACACTAAGACACCATGGCAAGAACAAGTTTGCAGGGCTTAACTTCGTATTTTCAAATAACCAGAAAGTTGGGCTTAACTGGAGACCTAAACCAGTCAGAAATGAAAGGACAGAGATACTTTGCTGGGGAAGGCAGCTGTGAAGGTAGGGAGATGGTCTTTTTCTTCTCTGTACCTCAATGGGGGTCAAGGTAAACAGGAAATGCCTTTCTCCAAATACGTCTTTCTAGCACCCTTCACTGAAAGAGGGGTTCAAAGTTACCTTCTTTATTTAAAGGAATCAGTAAGAACATCTCAGCTCCAGAAAGCACAGAGTGGAGCTTGGCTGTAAAAGGTGGTTTCCCCCATAAAACCAGTGCTTCTCAAAGAGAAGCGCAGCTTGCAGTCCCCCTGGAACCCCACATCGCCTTTTCGCTAACACTGCACAAGCAATACCACTGGGTTCCAGGGCAAGATGCAAACCATGAAGATGACCCCAAATGCCCACGAATTTCTCCCTAAGGAGCCTGAATGCAACCGCCTCTGCCTGACCCAAACCGAAAGCTTCAGCAAGGCTGCGATCTTTTCAGGAGCGCCATGAACTCCTTGATGCTGAGGTCCTTGTAGAGAGCTGCTAACCAAGCACAGAGAAGCAGCAGCGATGGTCGCCACCTTCTAGAATCAAGGAGGACCAGTCCACTTCAAAGGTAGCCCAGCACAAGGGCCCAGAGACTACAGCCGCCGGCATCACTGGGAAGGCCCAGTGGGCACCTGGGGCTATGGGCAGACAGCGATGAGGAAGCTTGTCTGGCACAAGGGGCTCCCAGGCCGGGGACCCTCGGAGCAACCCACAGGACGGGGATGCTCTCTGACGCCGAGGCTGCGCGTGCACGAGCTCTGTCCAGCGCTAGCCGAGTATAAAGGTGATGATTATCTCCTCCTTTCCTTCAGAGCAACTCTGTGAGGAGTTTTCTGCGGGGCTGCAGATTGGAACTCTTCAAGGGTCCTCTCGGGAAGTGAAGAGCAGACTTGAGACTAGGACTAAGCCTCAGGGAGCCTCAAGTCAGGGGTCCTTTCACAGGGCACCGAGGAGACCACCAGCTGCGCAGGGGTTCCTACTGTAAGCGGGCACAGGGCTCAGGGAAGTGGGGGGGAGGCCTTCCTCCTCAGCCTGGGAGGCAGTGAGCTGAGCTAGGAAAACACTGCTCAGAAACCCACATCTGCCACCCACTTCCTTGCTGATCTGATCTTGGGCAGAGGCTCAGTTCCTTTGAGCTCCAGTTTCTTCAGCTATAAAAAGGGGGCTAATGACACCCGGCCAGCCAGGAGGTTGGTAAGGACGAATACGACAGAGTATGTCAGAGTATGTCAAGGGTGCCACACCGGAAGCGCTCAGTAGATTTTAAAGGTTTGCAGGCACAAGAGCTACAGACATTTACAGATGACATAGAGCCTAGAAATGGATGCCTAAATTAATAGGAAATATTTTCAGCCACAGGAGACTTGAGGCTATTCAAAAGGCAACAACGGACGCCTCCCCCTTTCCTTTTCTTCTCTGCCTGAAGCCGGCTGCCCACACCTGGTCTAAGAGCTCAGAGGGCGAGGCTCCTGGCTCCCCAGCCAGGCGGCACCACAAGCCTGCTGTGGTTTGCACAGATGCAAGCCTGTTCTTGGTCTGGGTCCAGAAGATTCCTAGGAAAGGACAGGCAAGGGTGCGAGCCCTCAAGGGCACGCTGCTCAGTCAGGCCAGGTGGGTGGAGGGGAGAGGCAATGGCTCTTTAGACACCTGTGCGTGTAGACAGGCGCAGAAGGAGACGTTCCTGGCGTTGCCGCCTGCAGCTCCCTCTACTAGCGGCCTGGTTTCTAGTGAGTGAACTTACGTGACAGACGGGAACAACATCATTAGCCCTACAGAGCCAGCTCTCCCTCCAGCTGGGGGACCATACCACCGAGGCCATTATACAAGCTGGGCGACACCCAGTGCGGTAACTAAGGCCAGGTCTCCCCTTCTGAGAATGGGCCGCTCTCGGCAGGGCCAGTCAGACGCTCTCACTTGGGAATTTGGAATGGATACTCAACTTCCAGGTCACAGAAGTCATCTGCCGGATGTTTCCACTGAGGCCAGGGAATCCTGGGGCTGTGGGCTGATGTGGCCACACACATATTGAAACACTGACAGCCAGTCTGCCCAAGGAAGATGAGGCAGAGCCGTGCCGGTGACGTGGGGAGAGGGCGGGGCAGAGAGACAGGCAACACAGAGCAGTCGGGGAGCCAGCAGAAAAGCAAATCCCTGCAGAACTCTACTTAGGACCTTGGAAAATATTCAAAATACAAAAATCCGAAATTTCAGCTCTACCCCTGGGCCCTAATAACATCATATATCAGATCATCTGGTCCAAGAAGTGTCCTCAGCAACTCCAACCAAGCAAATCTCAGATTCCAAGTGGTGACGTGACATTTCAGCGTCTGCAAACAGAACACAGAGCGGTACCAGGGTTCTCTCTAAACAGCCCCCTGCATTTCAGGGAGCCTTAGAAAACCCCTGTGGGTGCGATCAGGGCTATTTTAATTCAAATGTCTGTTCTGCTTTACCCAGAAGCAATGCCGTGATATTTGTTTCTCTCTGTCACCACGTGTTCGGGCCAGAAGGTCAACTGACTGCCATCTACAAGAAGCCAAATACTCTGTGGAGACCAGACCTGAGGTTCTGTCGAGACCAAAAGGAGATGTCAGCTTATCAGGCTTTAAAAATGATCCCCAGTACTGACAACGCAAGGCTCCTGTAAGTGTCCACATACCTGTGGTTCTACCTTTTATGAAATTACGAGGCCACTGGTTTGATTCTGATCTAATGTTTCAATAAAACACCATTTTAGGTTACAAAAGGTGCTTCCCGACAATAGCTCAACAAAAGCTTACTGTGTTTGTTTTTCTTCTCTGGTAGAGGAGGAGGTTTTTCTGGGTCACCCGTTGATTCAGGAACAGTGAAATCACCCACAAATTCAACAGAGGCTGAGGAACCTCCTTGCTGAAAGGGAAGAATAGCAGCAAAGGGCGTGAAGGGGACGGACTGGACTGAGGCTGGGTTCTGCAGGTCCTCCTCGGAGATGTTGTCGTACTGCGAGGGATGCCGCTCGTAGGACGCCCTGCAGCCAGAGCTGTCCCCCGTCTGGGAGGCCGCGCTCCTGCGCTTCTTCTCAGGAAGAGCAGGCGGCACATCCATCTGCTGCCCTGGGGCCGAGGGCCCCTCTGGCTGGGGACAGCTGCCCTGAGGCAACTGGAAAGGATGGCCGAGAAACGGAGACCCAGACTCCCCCAAGGACTCTGGCAACGGGCTGAGGTTACAGGCCACTTGCTGAGGTATCTGGTCTGCGTTAGAGAGGTCTTGCTGGAGGAATTCGTAGTCAGGGTCGTAATGATCTGCGTTCACAACAGGAGAAACATACTGTGAGCCACCAGCCCCCACAGAAAGAAAAGCTCCCACGCTTCTTCCCTGACCCAGCGCTGCTCATTAGAGTGACCAAAACACATCTCCCATCTCATCCGCAAAGACTCTCACTTTACTTTATATTTTTCATTTTTCTCCTGCTTATAAAAGTAAAACCAGATGGGAATTTGACTGTTTGCTATCCAATTCTTTGTACTTTCCTGGATTTTTAAAAGTTTCTTACTTAAAAAAAGAAAAATACATGACCACTGTACAAAAGGTGGCCAAAAAACCCTATTGAGAAAATAAAAATCACCCACAATCCCATAATCTAACTATAATCTCTGCTTATTACTGGATATATTTCCTTAAAAGTCTTTTTTCCCTTGGATTTTTTTTCCTTTTTAAACTCTGAGAAAACACTATATAAGTGGTCTTGGATTTTGTCCGCTGATCACTATATCATAATTGGTTTTTAATACAGCTATGTATTATTCCACCAAATGGATGTATCATAAGTCTCCTGATTTCCTATCACTGAGTAGTAGATTCTTTCCAGTTTATCATCATTACTCTTAATAATGCTGAGATTAATGTCTCTGGACAGAAATCTTGCCATAAATCTCTGATTATGTTCTTAAGATAAACTCTCAGAAGTGAAGTATCTAGTTCGCGGGACATGGACAGCTCAGTGCTCTGTAGGCCTCCTGCCAAACTGCACGCCAGACCCTCACTGGGCCCCACCGCCCGAGGCCAGCTCCCTTGCCTTCGCCCTCCGTCAGAAGTGGGCAGGAGCTCTGAGCACAGAGGGCTCTGAATTCTGGCAAAGGGAGTCAAATGACACACTGACAGACTAACTGAAGTAACAGCTACCATTTCAGTATCTCCCATGGGGTTTCACACTGCTACTCCATTTAAACTTTCAACCCCCTTCAGAGGCAGACACTGGTATCCTCATTTTGCAGATGAGGAAACTGAGGCTCAGATTTTGAGTGACTTGGCCAAGGTCAACAGAGCCAATGACTGGCATCACTGTCTGAGCCCAAAACAGCCCCGGAGAGACGATGAGCCAGCAGTGGTGGCCGCGACGCCGGCAGCTCACCTAGAGTCTCACAGCTTGTGTTCCGGGAGCACCGCCCGCTGTCCCTGTCCAGAGACGACAGCTGCTCGTCCGACTTGCTCAGTTTGCCTATGCTGCTGCAGGGGGACAGGCGGGGCGACTCGCCGCCATATGAGTGGCTGCCGCCCGACAGTCGTCTCTGTGCGTAACAGTCCACGTCAAAATCCTCCCGGCAAAAACGAAAACAAACCAAGTCACTCCTGGGAAATGGTGGCAGAGACCAGGGGAGGGAGCCGGTACGTTTACTCGGAGAAGGAGATACCGGCAGGCTCAGCAACCTGCTGGAAAGGCCCGTCTTTGCTGTAGGCTGTGAACGCCACTTCTGCGCCTCCTGAGAAAGAGGGCCTGTGCCAGCGCTCAGAGCTCAGTGCGAGGGAGGCCCTGGGGCCGGTCTCGGCCTCCCCACCCCGTGAGGGAACTTCCACCCCAGTGCGGAGAGCTCCTCCTGACCAACGCCAGGGACTGAAGACCACTGGGTTTCTCTCAGCTTCAGGAAGCAAATCCCCAGACCTGAAGCCTTCCTCTGCCTTTCTAGATGGAGCTAATTACCTGCCTATTAATTCCAACAGGCAAACTGGAGCCACTGGTGGCTCGACTCATGGGGGCCACGACGGCCACTCGGGTAGGGGATGGAGCCGACTGTCTCTTCTTCGGTGGCAATGCTGGTGGAGGACTGAAACAGAGCAAGGAACCCTATCAAACCAGACACCCCACAAAATGCTTTAAACAGATACTGGGGTATGGGAGGTGGGTTCTTTCATTATCAGACACTTCACACCTGCTTTTCACACTTTCAACTCCCATCCTATCAGTGCCAAAAAACTAGTATCCAAAGTTCTTCCTTTTCTTTTCGTAACAAATGGTACCAGTTTTTGCTTGGTTAAGGCTAAAAGGCAAGCGGTTGGGAGTTCTCAGGGTGCGGGGCAAGGGAGGGCGCTGGGCCAGGCTCACGTCCTCTGGAGACGCCCCTCCAGAGGAAGGTCAAACCGCCAAGGTGCCTAAAGAGCAGGTTCTGACCCTAATGGCACCGTCTTCTTTTTGGCTCATCCTACCCATCCATTCATGAAATTATGACATAAATAGAGGAGGGTGCTAGAAAAACAGAAAATTACCTATTATCAACCACACGAATGCCAGGTAAGGGGGGTTTGGGGGGCGCGACCTCTTCATCCGTGGAATCTGGGAGCCCCTCGGACGACTGCGACAGGCCGGTCGTCTTGTTTAGAATCTCCATCTCTCGATCTGTCAAGGGGAGCTCAGACTGGCTGGAGAGTTGAAGAGAACTCGGGGTTACAGAAGGCCACAGAGAAGGTCCTGAGAGCATGAGGATGTGACCAGGGCAGGGAAGTCATGGGGGGACAGGGACGGAGGTGCCCTGGACACAGAGCTGACACTGTGCCCTGGGCTCCAAGGCAGAGATGGGGTTTCAAGTCTGGTTCGATCACCCACAAACAGCAGAAGCTTGGCCAAGTCCCCCTGCCTCTGCACCTCAGTTTCCTCATCTGGAAGAGGAATCTCTGGACTAGATGATGTTCTAAAATGCTCCAAGTGTAGGTTTTATATTTTTACTAGGGGCTTGTAGTAGAAATTATTGCAAGGCCCTATAACTGTCCACATTACCCTCAGTTTCCTTTCTTGATAAAGTTAAATGCTCTCAAGTCAAACCCCTAAACCCCAACCCTTCAAAGTTCTTTCTAATTATGGGAGGAAGCTGGTCAAGAAAAGTATAGGTGGGTTTTGACATCACACACTATCCTTAGAAAAGGTCACGCTATTAACCTGGAGACCAGGCAATTCTTCAGAACGGGTGTGAGCTATACACACTTTAAAGTAATGCAGGCTCTTACCCAGAATTCACTGAGAAGGGAATGTGGGCCTCACAGGGCCTGCCTGATGTGGGCTCCGGACCTGGCTCCCCTTCTTTCTCAAGTGTAGATCAACCGTGACCCCAGATACTGGAGGGTCTGGTCAGCACTCACCCGTCTGGTTTGCAGGCTGGGGAACTGGGTTTCACTGGGCTTGTTGGAGACGGATGCCCCTGCTTCTCGATGGTAAGTCTGACAAGCTCCTACATCCCACACAAGAGAAAAGCAGTGAGACACGAGGAAGGTTCCTCACCGTGAATGTTCCCAACCAGGTGGGTCAGCTGTCTGTCCTCCACTGCCCACAGATTCCTCACTCACCATAAGTGCGAGTATGATTTGACTTAGGTAATCTGCCTGGCTTCCTAAAACGTCTCCTACCCTCCAAAAATACCTGCACAGCACATCGAAAGCTTCAAGTGCATAAAGGCACTTCCTTTTGGAAGGGGGAAATGACAAGCCCCACTGTCTCAGAATGACTAAGTTCATCACACAGACCAAACTCCTGGCAGAACAACTGCCAGTCGGTTTGTGGAGGAAGAACTACTACCCTTTAGTTCTCTGAAGCCATTATACGATGTGCAGGACGCTGCTTACTAACAATCAAACCTCTGGTCTTGGGGAAGGTGGTTTCCCAGGGTGAGCTGGCCATGGGTGTGGCAGCAGCTGGTATCCTGAAATGACTGGTGGAAATCTTTGTCGATGGACAGAAAGTTTAGGGCATATTACCCAGCAGAGAAATGACTTTAGAAAATATTTTTTTAAATAGGAAAAAAAAAGGTGATTAGGGCCTACTTGGTTTTTTCAACTAGAATGCATCCTCCTCCAATGTGATGAGTTTTGGTGATTGCATACACCATATGAGAATCACTCAAAACTACAGAACGTTCCCACCACCCTCTCCAGTCAACCTGCCCCATCGCAACCACTTTTTCACTTCTGTTTCTTGGATCACTTCTGCCTAGAACTTGAAATAAGTGGAACCATACAGTATGTACTCTTTGGTGTCCATCTTCTTTTTCTGAACAGCTTTAGGCCATAAAATTCAGCCTTTTTTTTTTTTTTTTTTTTTCCTGTACGCGGGCCTCTCACTGTTGTGGCCTCTCACGCTGTGAAGCACGGGCTCCGGACGCACAGGCTCAGCGGCCATGGCTCACGGGCCCAGCCGCTCCGCGGCATGTGGGATCCTCCCGGACCGGGGCACGAACCCGCGTCCCCTGCATCGGCAGGTGGACTCTCAACCACTGCGCCACCAGGGAAGCCCAAAATTCAGCCATTTAAAGTGTGCAATGCAATGGTTTTTAGTCTGTTCACAGTGTTGTGCAACCATCAACACAATCCATTTTAGGACTCATTATTACTTCCAAAACAAACTCCGGACCTTTCCGTGGTCCCTCCTCATGTCTCCCCAGCCCTCCCGGACCCACAACTACTAATCCACTCTCTATCTCTATTCGTCGATCCTCTTTTGCTCAGTGTAGACACCCACGTCTCTGTGTGCATGAGTAGTGTGTTCCTTGATGTTGCTGAGTTGTATTCCAGTATATGGATAAACCCACAATCTCTTCATTCATTGCCCTGTTGATACACACCTGGGTAGGGCCTACCTGTGTCACGTGAGAAGTTCAGGCTTTCAGCATGAACATCTATTTCTAAAGTTACAGAGGAGGCAGCAATGGAAGAAGGTGGGTAATACAGCAGTGTGCCCCCAAATCAGACTGCAAAGCCTCTCCCAACTCAAAACACCCCACACAGGAATCCCGACAAGTGTGGTAAGGCAAAGAGTTACTATGATGGATGGAAGTAATGCTTTGGATAGCTTATCTAAAAGATGACTTGTCAGTATACATAAAAAGCTTTAAATATTTGCATACGTTTTATAGTAATTTAGCCCAAGGAAAATGACACGGATGTGTACAAAAATTAAGCCACAAAGAACGTTCACTGCAGCATTCCGTGTAACAGGTAATCAGATGACTCAATATTCCATAATTAAATATTCAATACTAGGTACTGATTACATAAATTAAGATAGACTTAAACAATGGACCATTATATTACCATTAAAAAAACTCACAAGAGGGCTTCCCTGGTGGCGCAGTGGTTGAGAGTCCGCCTGCTGATGCAGGGGACACGGGTTCGTGCCCCGGTCCGGGAAGATCCCACATGCCGTGGAGCGGCTGGGGCCGGTGGCTGTGAGCTGTGGCCGTTAAGCCTGCGCGTCCGGAGCCTGTGCTCCGCCACGGGAGAGGCCACAACAGTGAGAGGCCCACACACGGCAAAAAAACAAAACAAAACAAAACCTCACAAGAATATATGATAGCGTGGAAAGACAATACAATGTTAAGTGGAAAAACAGCCCAGACGGTACACTGGTGTATACACAGTATGTTTTGGAAACAAAACAAAACCAAGAACACACGTATAGGAAAAAACACGGCTACGAAACACCCCTTATTTTCTTGTTTTTGCTTCTCTGCTTTTTCTTACTTTGCTACAATGAACATGTATTACTTCTGAAATACGAATTAAAAGAAAAATAAGGCATACTCCATATAATCAGAACCGGTGTCACCCCACTCTGTAATAGTTTCGATGCCTATTCCTGGAGAAACGTGGAGGGTTGAGATCGCCAAGAATCAAGTACTGGAAGAAGAAAGGAGAAGGCTGGCATTTTCCTGTTATCACCATCTAGGAGTTAAACATAATCTCGCAAATATTTAAGGAACAGCTAACTAGCTGGTGATTACAGACAAGGTGGAGAGACAAGAGATGACGTAATTAGAAGAGAGAGCAAGTGGCGTGGAGGCAGGCCCCCTGCACCCCATCGCCTAGAGGAGGGTGGGGAAGGCCGTTCATCCAAGAAGCCCATCACCAGGCCACACAGAAGAGCATCACGGCATCAGAGGGAGTCAAAGTGCCTTGGAAGCGCCACACTCAAGCTCACTCTCTTTACAAGCAGGGCAAAGGAAAAGGGAGGAGCCTGTACGCTTGCATCTGCTGAGGCAGGACAAAATTCCACTAATTCTTCATTGATTCCTGAGCAATTATAATTAGAATGCCATCTTTCTGGAGAGGCAGCTGTGTGAACTCAACTAAAGAACGATGGCAAAAGAACCGTGCAATGACAGGCACACATGTGCAAGTGGGCACCCGAATTCCAAGACAAAGTCAGATCCCAGAACTTACCCTCCTTCACCCCAGGCCCAAAAGACCATCACAGGAGGGGGCAGCTTTCCATATTCACCACGACCTTCCAGCCCAAACACAAACACACCAGCCAGAAGGTCTTTCACTCTCAGCCTGGCTTCTCTCTCACAGGCAGAAGGGCACCCTTAGAATGTGCACGTACCCGGCAACCGTGCCAACACCCTCATCTCCTTCAGAGCTGACCGTTTGTAACCTGGCCAGAGCTCAACTCTCCCTACTGAAGCCAGATTTCTGAGAGGATGTCAGACTTTCCAATCCTCCTGAGGCACAGGTTAGGAAAGACTGAGAGAGACGGCACATGAGGCTGTGTCCAGAGCCGGCAGCTGTAAACCAGACAACCGCCAGTTCACTGAAAAGCAGTTTTCAAAGCCCGAAAGGTACCCGGAAGAGCACCTTTCTAAATACACAACACTTTATTTCCATGCTCATTTTACTCATATTGAGAGTGATCACAGAGACACTTCCATCTTAGATGACCTTCATCCAGTCAAAGCACAGCTCGGTGCTCAGGTAAGAAACAGTCCTATCTGTTTTTGTCTCCTCGGCCCCTGCCCGGCAGAGGGGACACGGGCTGCACGAGGAGAGGCCCAAGTCCTCCAGGTTCACGTGGAGAGAACACGCACTTTAACTGGAAAGCGCCCCGCCCGCAGCCTGGGCCCGCTGCCCCTGCTCAGGCCGCATCCCGACCTGTCACTGTCTGTCCTCTATCACCATGGGCTCCTGTGCTTATGGCCATGACATGGCCCCTCTACCGGTGAGTGGTCCTAAGATGAGTTCTTCACCAAAGACACTGGGTACAGGCCAGTGGGGAGTTTCCTGTAACTGAAGTGGCATAATGCAGTCACAGGGCTGTCCAGCCCCAGTATGACCTTTATGGTGACAACAAGGGACCTTCCCTGCCCACATCCTAAGCAGGGCTGAGGCAGCGACAGAGCAGAGGAAGTGCCTTCCTTCTCACATGTGCTCAGGGAGACAGAACACTAAAGCACACGAGGTGCCAGAGTGCACTGGCCTGGCGGCGACTCCTCACGTCAGCTTCTGGAGGCTCACAGCAGCCTGAAAACAAGGCAGCCAGAGGAGATCTCAAATTCCACCCTGAAAGATGCTGAAGAGACCAGCCCAGAAGCAGTGCCAGGCCCGGATGGCATGGGGGGAGGGGCATAATTTTAAAACTGGGCACTTGTGTCTTCAAAATAATGAGTTGGGGCCAAACACTACAACTCGAACAATAAAAGTTTTCAGGGTTCACCCCCAAAAAAGGCCCTAAACAAGCTTACAGATTATTGAAAGACCTTCTCTTGACATTTGTAACTAAGTAGAACACGTGTGGGCCCAGAAAGGAGATGCTGCTGCCACAACTCCTAGCTGGATAGGATGTCCTTCTACTCCCAACACACTTGAGAATGAAAAAGCAGTAAATGTTTGGTGCAGTTCTTCAGGTTAGCAGATTTACTAGAAAAAATACTTAGTGAACTGCTCAGAAAGTAGGCTGGGGAAGGCTTATCTTAGTCTAAGCCACCCTATTATTTTGAAAAAACAACAACAAAAGTACCCGTAAACCCTGAGCGTATGAAGCTGAAATTGGAGCATGATGATTTCTCTGACGTATGAAAGTATATCCACAACATTCCTACATGGCAATTTCCTACTACACATAACCCGCTGTGTCTCTTCCCCCTTTCTTCTTCTTCTTCTTTTTTTTTTTTTTTTTTGCAGTGCGTGGGCCTCTCACTGTCGTGGCCTCTCCCGTTGCGGAGCATAGGCTCCAGACGCGCAAGCTCAGCGGCCATGGCTCGCGGGCCCAGCCGCTCCGCGGCATGTGGGATCTTCCCGGACCGGGGCACGAACCTGTGTCCCCTGCATCGGCAGGTGGACTCTCAACCACTGCGCCACCAGGGAAGCCCCCCCCCTTTCTTCTTCCCTCTCCTTCTCCTCCTTTGTAAAGCAGTGGAATACTCAGACCACTGCACACAGGAAATACTCAAATACATACCAC